GCTGACGAATAATTTATAAACTGGGTATACTCTTCAATAAGAATTGTATTGACTCAACCTTTGAAGGGCTGTAGGTCGTAGCCATTAGAAAAAAACATAAAATCTAAGGAAGTTCGGCAAATCTACGCACTATTAACTTTAATTTGAGCAATAAATCTTTTAGATCGGTCCAGTAATGACTAAGAAAACAGACTAACAACTGTGTATTAAATATATAGATTTAAAAATTAACTGCTGTTTTATGAAAAAATATTATTCACATGGCCAAAATGTAAACAAATCTATGGAGGGATCTTTTAAAGGCTTCTGGGGCCTTAAAGGAATTTACTTCGTTTGTCTTTTGATAACTCATCTACAGACCAAGACCTTTCTTTGGATACCTCGACCACAGACAATGGAATAAACCATTAAAGTATTATATTGTCTGTGCCTCGACCATGTTTCTACGCCCAGTCGTTTTCTTAAATTAGTGGAGACAAAGTTTCCAATTAAATATTTGGATCCCCCATGTTTATGGGATAAATTAATAATAATAATAATAATAATAATAATAATAATAATAATAATAATAATAATAATAATAATAATAATAATAATAATAATAATAATAATAATAATAATAATAATAATAATAATAATAATAATAATAATAATAATAATAATAATAATAATAATAATAATAATAATAATAATAATAATAATAATAATAATAATAATAATAATAATAATAATAATAATAATAATAATAATAATAATAATAATAATTAATAAAATAATCTTATGGGAGAAATTCCAACTTTGATGGAATATTCAGCCCGAACTAATGAAAAAAAAGAAAAACGCTTTGCAAAACTATAGATTAGGGCCATTCTTTTGACACTTTAATCATCAAAATCGGTCTAAAAATTAGGGAGGAGTTCTGTTCACAAAAATACGGCTTAGAGATGTTATATTTAACAAATATATATATTATACATATATTCGTTTTTTTTTGTGTTTTTCGTGTTTGTGTACATGTTCTTAGTGTAATGACGAATCTAACCAAATTGGTTAGATGACTTATTGACGTTTTTGTTCAACCTGAAGATGGACTTTTTAAGTCCGAAACTATAGTAGTGTACTACTGAAGCAGGATCACTTGACGAAGCCAGGTAACATAAACCATTTAGCTTAAATTTAGTGATCCAGAGGCTACCTCATCATGGAATTGTCTTTTGAATTAAGCTCTTTGTAATGAATACCTGTTAATCGCCACCACTGACAATCGCTGCCAACTCAAATTTTGTGACAATCGCTACCAGTCTCTACCTGCGGCCGTGGGTCACCACCCTCACCGCTACGTGACGACATACCTTAACATACTCCCCTCCCTTCACTAACCAAACCACCCTATTGGGAATGGCCACTGAAGTAATACCTATAGTGCTACAATTCATTCTATGTTACAAACGGTTCATTAACGGTTCTTTGTTTACGGTACTATAGTTCATACTACTGTTGTTCGAAACAGAGGTCGACGCTGATTTTTTAATTACATTTTTAGCTGTTGTAGTTTGGTTGTAATGTAACTTATACAGCATTGTACGATAGGGGCTTCCTGCCGCGCCACACCATGCGGATTCTGCCTCTAATCTCACTTTTAATAAAGTTTAGACATTCAAGTTTGGAGGTGTACAGAAAAGTTCCTAAACTACTTAGAAAAACACGGAATACATTTAAATGTTCATAGTTTTATTCTTTGTATTCATCTAAAAATAAATATTGTTAGCTATTTTATACAAATCAATATGGCAGTCAGAATATAAAGGAGCGTTGTTTTAAGAGTTTCAAAAACGATCTTGTGACTTGATAATTCGTATATTGTAAACAAAAAGTCAGAACGTTAGCAAATGTTAATAAAATATTGATACATATTTTAAATTAATTTATATGTTTTCAGAATTTTTTTACGCCGAAAAGTTTTTGTTGTTAATGATGTAAACTAACTTTTTCTAAGAAGGTTTGGATGTTGGCTGTTGAATATTTGCATCATTGAATCATGCTCCTTCTCCTGGGTAAATTTTGACGTACTGTATATCTTTTTTTTAATAACACGCTAGTTATTATTGCAGAATATAATGTCACAAGACAATTTTAATATCCTATTGACCAATCCATTCTGTTGATGCATTGCAATGAGTTAATCCCAAGCTTCTGATCTTTTTGATAGCATAGGCGGGCAGTGTGTTAGTGAACAAAACCACGTGTACTGACTAAAAACAAATAGGGTAAGAATCAATATAAAAAATACATCAATATATATTGTGACGTTAACTTTCGAAATTGACTGTCCTTTGGATTTATCGCTAACTCTCCTTTGGATCGGAACTAGCTAATTCTGGTACGGTACTATGAAGAAGCCGTGATCATAGTATGACACACCCTCCCCCCCCCTCTTTCCAAGAACGGGCCGGACTGGTAGCGATTGTCACTGGTAGCGAATATCACTGGTGGCGATTTACAGGACACCCTTCGTAATATAATCACCTGAAAACTTGTGTACGTTTCAATCCTATACAAATCTACCTCTGTATTAACTTTGATTATATATTGTTGTCTTCCTGTTTCTCATCCTCTACTTACTTCGCAAGACGAATTATTAATTTCTTTGTTTCTGTTGCATACGTTTACATACAGTCTTTAAGTTTACGTTTTAGTAAAAATTATCTAAAAAAAATTATAAAATTCATTGGTCTTTCCTAATTTATTTATTAATACGCAAGCAGTTTTCTTTTCACAGTCATAACTCAATAACGGCTAGATGGATTTTAAAGTTTGAGGTGGCAAATTAAAGGTATTTCCACGTAGATGTGCAAATACGTCTCAGAATATTTAGAAAGGGAACCACTTAAGTACACTAAAGGGCTAAAGTTTGGAAGGCAGCGCTATCTGTTGACATTTGATCAAACTCATTTCCCTTTGTTTACAAATAACATATGGACTGTAGTTTGAAATAGTTTTTAAGGTTTAACCACAGACTGCAGGACTTAAAACTTCCAGAGCAAAGCTGGAATTTATAATATTTTGTTTCAATCTGTTAACTAAGTCAGGTTCTGGTTCATAATGAAGAGTTTAAGAATAAATATTTAATACATATTTTATTCCTTTTGTGAATGGTTAATTTGATTTACCCTACATCGTATTTTACTGATTATCATGTTACAGTTCGATTTGATGAAGTGAATGTTTAAAAGTGATTATTCGCAGGGCAGTTATCCGTTACATTACCATATTATAATATAATTTACAATGTGTATCAAAATACCAATTCCTTTATAGTGTTTTCTGTTGTTTGGTTAACTTCCTTATTTCATTTTAATTTAAAATCAAATGCCACCAGTACGACGAAGAACTGTGAGTGGCTGGAGGGAACGCGAACATGACCGCTTGCATCAACCTCTCAATTGAACATTTGATGGGTACATAGTGGTAGCACCACCGTTGTGATAGTCCAATCTCGGACAAATGGACATTAAATGTTTACATTGTAGTAGCTTACATATTTTTAAGCAAGAAAAGACTGACCGAGACACTTAAGTTTTTACTCTTTGTTGTCATAAATGAAAGGTTTGTTTACCTCATTTGTGCAATTCACAATACCTTCAGGTTCTTATTGGAAACTACCAATCTGAAAATAGGAATGTGAGACTTATATACAGAAATTATTCGGATAAAGTTCGTCAATTCAATTCTGCCTTTACCATGGTCATCTCCGAAGCTCATTAAGATGAGAAAGTTCCACAGGGGATCTACAATTTTAAGATCCGTGACACGTTTTACCACCGATTGGGTCCTCTAATTCCTCAAGAAGGTGATGATCCTGAATACGCACAGATATATAAGTAAGTACAACAATGTCATTAGAACCCAAAAGAGAACTAAGCACAATTCAAACAAAAAATGAAAAATATGTGGGAAATAGGGTCACAATGCCAACCCATTTGCAAATCTTTGAAGACTGTGGCAGACATTATGTAGGGACGAGAGCTCCGAGGAATCAAGTGAGATTTGTATGTACATAATAAGAGACATAAGAAGTGTCTTCCCTCGCTACAATGGTGCTACCTGTGTAGATGTCGCAGCAATTTTTAAAGCTAAAAACAAAGCGATACCTAGCCAAATAAATCGTATAGTTTTTTCCAATACTAATAATGTCAAACGCGTATCCATTCTAGATCTGTCGTTAGATCCAACTGCTTACCCTCTTCATGTCCCCAACCGGAGACTTGGGTTGGGAACCCTTATTTAAACACGCCTAAAACAGAACACATCAAAGAAATAATTTAACAATGCTAGAATAAGAGTAGCGATGGTTGGCGTCAAGAGAGGAATTTAGCTACATTAGGTCAAAAGCTCACTTTACAGGGTGTGGTTATCATCTACGTGCTCATAGAGTGCACCCGCCTACTATATATAAGAGATAGGTAACCAAACAAGTATGAGAGTGAATGTACATTTAAATATTGTAGATTACTTTTATATTTTTTACATCATAATATTTTTATATTTCTATAATCAGTCATATAAATTATTTTAGAGCGACTCTTTGATTAAGGTCTTACTGTTTATGTTTTTTGTTTATTTTTTACATACAAGTTTCAGTTTTGCTCGATTTCAAGCAACGTGTCTTAGTTAAGACTGAATACAAATAACATGAGCTAATAACGCTAGACGTCAGATAACGTAAGATTTACACACGGCATCAGAATAATATAGTTTAATAATTAGTTTGTTACACTTCTAAGCTCAAGAAGAAACTGTATATAACAGTGGCAAAGAATTCATACGACAGAACAGCAGAAAAAGTTGACTAAGTTGTATTTAGTCATCGTATTCAAAAACTAAAAATAATCTTAATAATATTTTAGTTTTGTAATATGGTTGATCAAATGGTTTTTGACATAAGCCTGTTCATATGAGATGTGTAGTATTGGAATGTAGGGTAAAATGTATGCATCCAATTAGAAATTACACTTTACTAATAAGTTATACTTAACTTATTATTAACAAAGTAAAGATGTTAAGGTAGCCATGATAAAGTGATGGTCTAGACTGTTGGGTGACTGGCCATTGGTTATCTTGAATTGAGGGTCTAGACTTTAGGGTAGATGGCGTGGGTGGCAATACCACACATGCCCATGTGGTGCTTGTAGTTCCTGGGCATAATCAAGTATCCATTCAATCCCCATTTGGTCCCCCAGGAGTTCTTTACCAACCAGTAGTCTCTTCCCTGTTTGTCAGTTCCGTACCCAACAGCCAACACATCGTGGGACATATGATAGGTGGTGCAATTAGGATCATGGAGCAGTCCTGGAACCACAATATTACACATTTAACATATTCAACTTTGTATATTCTGTGTTTTAGAAGCTAGCAAGGAGTTATAATCGTAGTCTTCATGATACAACCCAATTCCACAGCCACTGTTATAGTCCGTTTGATGGAACCTGTCTCCTGACCATTTGTCTACCTGGAACTGGTAGACCCCAGATCCCACGTACTAGAGGTTGAGGTGACAGGTTGCATCATACAGACTACAAATAAGTCTCATACTTACTACAATGCTATATATAACCAGCGGCAAGGCTCTGTACACGGTAGAGTGATTCTCCTCACAACACACTCGGCATGAAGTCGTCTATGTCTTGGCGCACCGCAAGAAATACAAGCTGCAGTGCAGAAGAGAGAAAATTGACAAGGACATCTGCGTAGTTGAAGCCATTGCGAACTCCCGCTAAGCGGATGAAACGTGTTCTGCAATGCTTCAAGCCTGCCTTTTTCACAAATGCTACCTATAGGGTAACCACACGGGACTGGCGTAATCTACAAGCTGTCCCACCATAGCACAGTATAGCGTTCTTAGAGCATCAGGGTTGTTAATCCCAAGGGTATATCTTGAGATGAAGCTCGACATCTTGTTGTCCTGTTTACAAATCCCATCAACGTGGTTGGAGAGGCCCATGTCGTGATGGAAGAAAACGCCCAGATCCTTTATTCCAGTAACTATTGGGATATGAACATGTGAAATTGAGTAAGATTTCAAGAGGGGATGCTTGCTGCGATGAAAGGACACACTTAAACACTTTTCAGGGGTAATCTGTATGTTGTTACTGATGCAGCTGATATGAAAATCTTCGAGTCTTAGTGGCAATGGGTCGTATATTAGGAACTACAATTACTGAACAATTTTGGAGATACATCAGCCGATAGTAAGCTACATATAGAAAGTGGTGGTCTAGGTCCTCCAAAAGATACGACAACATGAGAGTGATACTTCATGAGATCATGGCCGAGTAATACATCTGCACATAACTGAGGCAAAATTGACAACTTAAAACCATTGTACGTATGACCTTGAATATGTAAGTCTACTAATACGTAGCCTAATACTTTAGATGTTAAAGTTGTTTTAGCCATAGAAACCTGTCCACTTCCAGGTATTACTGTACTTTAATTCCGTGTTTTAAAACAAAATCATGGTTTATGTAGCTATCAGAACTACCAGTATCAATTATTAAAGAGTTAGCATGTCTACCATTTACTCTGGCTGAGACGACAGCTTTTGACAAGCAAGCAGGTCCAGCGGCAGTAATATTAGCTGTGGTATTTTCAGACGAATCTGAAAAAGCGGAAACTTTATTGTTTTGACTAAAATCTCTGTTGATAGCTTTGGATTTACATACCTTTGAGAAGTGACCTTTTTTACCACAACAATGGCAAGTGAAATCTTTTTCTGGACATACGGAACGTGGATGATACTGATGGTCACAGAAGAAGCACCTAGACTGTGCAGCAGCTAACATTTTTGAAGTTTCTGACTGAATTACATTTTCTTCCTCCTTAATACTCTGACTAGCCTTAGGAATTACATTTAGTACTTCACTAGTAGAATGATTTATGTATTTATCATAAGCCATTTCTAGAGCCAGAGATTAATTAATAGTATCTTGAAGTTCTAATTGTTTGTTTTCCAAGAGCCTGAGCCGTGACTTGTCCACCAAGCGTCCCACCAATGTCACGCCTCAGTGTTTTTTTTTTTTTTTTTTTTTTTTTTTTTTTTTTTTTAGTGCGAGTGCTGGCCTTGCGCCGGAACTCGGTCGGTTTGGGTCTGGCTGCAGACCTGCAGACTCCAGGTTTTCGGCAGAAGGCGAGCGACTGTCATTTTAACCTGTCAAACTTTGTCGTTTTCTGAAGGCAATTTTTTTCACTTCAGACAATTAATTTATTTCTACGCCAGCTAAATTTGAACATGGTTTAAGAGCGTGCCAGTCGTAAGATGAGGTCCCGGATGGGAGGCTTGGTTCTGCTGCTGTCTTCGGAGAGGGTCGCCCGGGGGAACATACCATCTTCTTCCTCCTCGGGCTGCCAATGGCCCAGCTTCTCCGGGGACCATTAGGCCACCATCCGCCTTCTACCACCACCGCTTGCCACCAACAAGGACTACTGTGTATTGTGCCGCCAAGAACCGCAAGTGTTTTGGACTGATTAAAATTTTTAAAGATTCCTATTTAAAAAGGGGGCCCCAAAATGATTTATCACTATAGGCTAGCTATTTATCAAAAATAGTTATTACACCGTTATTTATCTTTATAGTATTTTTATTATTTATTTATTGTTAATCTATTTAAAGTTTAAAACTGATCAGTTACCATCCTTTAATTGTTAGGCCTAACTTTTTCCCAGTTACCAGAAAGTATTATGTAAGTTCAGAGGGATAGACATAAATTCTTTTTATTTAAATATTTAAGAAAAGAGATTATTTAAAAGTAAATTCTTTGGATGGTTACCTTGTTTTGTTGATTGTTTTTGTTGAATTTTTGATACATTATAGGCTTAGTTCACAATTTGTTTGTTTGTTGTTCACCCACGGCCTTTCACATTTTAGTTAGGGATGTGGGGCGACCACTCGCACTGTCACTATGGGGGGGCATGCTTCCACTAGTTGCTCGTCTGGGGACGGTGCGAGGGGTCGGCTCAAGCCGTTGTCGAATGTCAGCAGATAGTAAACCATTTATTTATAAATGCATCTCGTATGTAATCTTATCGGTTTTGTTCTGAAGTTACAGATTTGAATTCACAGTCTTTGCTTAATTATTTCAAAGCTTGGACATATTGTTGAATGTTTTCATTTGAATTCTGTTTTCTCGTAGCTAGTTTGTGTCTTGCAAAAATTACGTTAATAGCTTTGCAATATATCTCTTTTAATGTCTTGATAGCTGCTTCGTATGTTGAACATTCTTCAATGAATTCAAATGTCTTATAAGACACAGCATTGATAAGTACTTTAAAAACATCTTCATTTGAGACTTTAGCAATGTCAACAAAGTTTTGGAAAGTCTATATCCAGTGAAAAAATTCTTTTTTTGCAGTTGGAGAATCCGGATTGATATCTAGAAGTTTTGGTTTCAGTATTTTCTCCATTTGATTTGTTTTCACTCAAATAAATTGTTGAGATAATGAATAAACCTTTTACAAATTCTAAGGCTTTATTTGAGTAAAAACCAATATTACAGAATAACACAAATAAACTAGTTAAATTTGCCTAGTAACCAGGACAGCTGATCAAAGTGTAATATGACGGATATTAGAAATCATCACAGCACCATCGACTGATTCCATCCAGGCTTTTTGCACCATGTGGCAGTCTTCTACTGGGGAAATTTCGGTGAAGATTTTTAGATCATCGGCAAACAATAGAGCATTAGTTTCCACAGCGTCTACAAGATCATTGATAAAGATGTTAAACATTCATGGGCCTAATATGGAGCCCTTAGGGACGCCAGAAGATTGAGTAAACTCTCCAGATCTCTTAGACCCAATATTTACTAACAGTACTTGGAGTTTTTGCTTTGCGTAGTTTTCAATCACCCTGATGGAACCAAATCAGTCGAAGACAGGAAAGGTATTGTCGGGTACAATCGTGGATGCGGGAGAGAATACTGAGCTGAGATAAGATGAGAAGAGATTGCATTTGTCCTCAGCACCTCTTGCCTGTCTGACGTTTAGGTGAATCAGTTAAGGGATGGTCAGTGACTTCTTCTTAGCACCTAAAAACCCTTCTCTCATACAACCCCATATAACCCAAAAATTTGGGGTTCTCTTCTTTCATATAACCCCAAAAACCCGGGGATTGGAGGAGATGTTGTTCTCAAAATTTGATAAATATTCCTGGTAGCATGCTGTTCATAGGTTACGACACATATCTCTCAGACGAGCGAACTGGTGATAATGTGCGGAGTTATGGCTGCCCTTAAATCTTTTTTGTGATTTTTTTTAGAGAGGAATATCGGATTTAGTGCTTAGCAAAAGACTCTGAATTAGGTTTGCGTCGTGGGATTTTGCTACATCACCTTTTGCATCTTTTGCGGCCTCTTTGAGTTCGAAGACGATGACGTTTTTGCTTCATCTTTGACGCTCCTTGAGCTCGGACAAAGTTTCATCAGTAGAGTGTGACTCAGTTGCAGAATGCGTATCTTTACGTTTTGGTAGCTTCAACGATGGTAAGACGGGACTCAATTTTTTTTTTAATTTTGGTGGACACATTTTTTAATTCATTTGTATGGTCTCGATGCCATAAGTTACAATCTTCAGTTAATTTTTGGCTGCTAGGGTAGAAATTTTATCTAGGATTACATCTAATTTTCTGTTAACGGGAGAAACACCCATGTCGCAATTGACTCTGCTACAGAACCATGGCTTACTGACATCGTTTACTTACGTATTATAGGTAGCTGTAGACATGGAGATACAATTTTGTGGAACCGACGATTGCATTTACTGTTGCACTAGTAGTGGCAATATGGCGGTTTTACCTCACTTTAGGCACGTTTTTCCCATAAGAATAACATGGGGATCATTTTTAGCCACTTTTTAAAAAATCCAGCTCTCGGCCTATACAAGCCTATATAAATGTTCAATACCATTGTACAACTCCATTACTATTTGAATTCCACATCCATTCACATGTATATTCTCAAAATCGGGCGAGGTTTGTACGCGAACTCGGGCGCGCTCCCGGCTCATGGCGCAGGCATGCTCCCGATCGATGGTCGGGCTCCTGCTTCTTGCCTCTAGTGGCGGGCTGTGAAATGGTATCTTTTGCGGAAATCCATGAGTTCTGGCTACTTGGTAACCCAAGCCATTTGACATACAATAAATCACCCTTTCTCCTAATTATCTTCTCTACCAAATACATGTCTTTAACAACTCCTCTGTATAGAATCCTCCTCTGATTATATTACCTTTTTCATCTTTCAAGATACAAGTCACAGGCTTTGTATTCTTAACTTCTGCTATTATAAATAGCTCCCCTGTTGAATTCGGGGTATATCCTTTACTAAAAACATGTTTATTCTTGGAAATGCTTATGCTATCACCTACCTTATATCTTGGCTTTTTAACTTGCACTACTTTAGAAGTCAACCTCTCATGCACATATTTACTATTCTTAATACTCACTTGGTTAGGCTTTATTCCTATAGATCTATGCACCTTATTATTATATTTTCGAATTAACTCGATTTTCGAATTTAATAACCAATTCTTTAAGGTTCTCTGAAACCTCTCTACAATTGTAGTCTTAGTTGTAGAAAAAGTGTGATAGAGATTAATATTTAGTTTGCTGAAATATTGATTAAAAAATTATTTTCCATTGTCAGATTGAATGTTTTTTAACCCCCTTTGGTAGAATGGTTTTAATGGCTTCTGTAACTACTAACCCTGTCTTATTCTTTGGTGGAGCAGCATGAGCTTTTTTAGAAAATGTATCTATTAAAGTTAAGATATATTTAATGCTGGACTTTTAACCATTTTGCCATATCTCAAAAAGTTTTCAAGATATAAGTAAAAAAATATTTTCCATTGTCAGATTGAATGTTTCTAACCCCCTTTAGTAGAATGGGTTTAATGGCTTCTGTAACTACTAACCCTGTCTTATTCTTTGTTGGAGCAGCATAAGCTTTTTTTAGAAAATGTATCTGTTTCGGTGTTGTTGTATGTTTCGGTGTTAAAACACCATCGTCAGCTTCAGGTACATATGTATAGTTGATCAGTAGTTAACATCGTCAGAAGATAAACATTGAACGAACTCGAATAAATACATAAAGTAATTAAACATTTAGGAAACAGGCCTGTTGTAACAAAGTATGACCGACCACACAAGGGCCAGACAAGACCAGCTTATGTTTATTAATTGTGTGTGAGAGAAAGGAATTTTGGAAAAGGATCAGCTGTTGTAAGATGGACGGAGCTATTGATAAGTGAATTAAAAATGGAGTAGGAACTGAACTGCAGTTTTTCGTTTAATATGGTCCCACAGGTACTAACGTTGTTAAAACTTTTGTATTTTTCATACTCCTCTAGAGTGTCGGCCTTTTTCGCTTTTTTGCAAATGTGTTGAATTTCCAAGCTGTCGTCAATATTTCCCATAGTATGATTGGAGTCTATTAAATGTTGTGCGACGGTGGATTTTTGTTTGGTTATGCTGTAAACTGGCCAGTGCTCTTTAAACCTTGTTTTGAAACTTCGTCCTGTTTGGTCAACATATATACTAGAACATTCAGCACATTTCAGTTTATAAATGCCAGTTTTACAATGTATGTCCTTTGCGGTCGGTTTTGAGCCTAATATATTTTTTAATCTGTTGTTAGTATTGAAGGTCAACTTTATGTTATTTTTCTTTAATTCTTTCCCTAAGCAATCATGTATGGTCTGAGAATAATCAACTATGCGTTGATTATTCTCAGACCATACATGATTGCTCTAAGTTTTGCCTAATATTTAGATTTTCCGGCAATGTGGTCCTTCATATGTCTAGGAATATTGTTTTTATACTTTCACAATATCAAAAGAAGGTACAGTTTGGTGAGTCTTTATTAATATTAAACCCTCTATATTAAACCCACTTTCAAAGTAGCCAAGCATTTGGAAACTTTTTTAGTGTCCCTAGTTAACCTTGAGAGTAGTTAAAGCCTCAAAAACTCTTTTGAACTAAGTAAAAACATGGCAAATATTGAGGTAAAGACACACCACACAGTAGCTTCTTTTGATATTGTGAATATTTACACAAATGTTCCTGTCGAAGAGACAATAAAGTGCATGACCATCTAAAGAGCCCCTGCCTACCAACTTACGCAATCAATGAGTTTTTGTTATTACAGTACTTAAGGAGGTATTAAAGCAAAACTATTTCTTATTTGATAGTAAAATGTATCACCAAACTGACGGATTGGCTATGGGTTCTCCCTTAGCAGGCATTATATCCTACATTTATCTAAATCACTTAGAAAATAAATACATCATGTCAAGCACAAAAAAATATAGGAGCTAGATTTTGTTTTATAGATGATAATATGTTGATGATACTACTGTATTATTCAACGGCAATTTAAGGCAGCTAATCTTACTCCTTAACTATTTCAATAGTCTGAAGCCCAACTTAAAATTCGCCCTTAAAAAAATTTAAGATAGCAACAAACTGAATCTTTTAGATTTTACAATTAAATAAACACAAAAATTATATTAATTAATTTAAGACAACAATAGATTTAACTTTGAAATTTTCTTCAAACTGACGACTACTGACCAAACAATTCACACTACTTATTATAACCCATATTCCCAAAAGATGGGTGTTTACAACGGTATGGTCCATAAACTACTGACTGTACCACTGAACAATGAACATTACCAACGTGAAGTAGCTATTATTAAACATATAGCCTTAGCAAATGGTTTTAAAAGTAATATTATGGACGGACTAATCCAAAAACATAAAAATAAAAACAATACTACTAGACATATTAAGGACAACATTGCCGAAAAACCTAAATGCATATGTGTTGATTAATCTCAGGACATGATTGCTTGGGAAAAGAATTCAAGAACATAAAGTTGACCTTCAACACTAATAACAGATTAAAAAATATATTAGCCTCAAAAACGACAGCAAAGGACATACATTGTAAAACTGGCATTTATAAACTGAAATGCGCTTAATGTTCTAGTATGTATGATGGCCAAACAGTACGAAGTTTTATACAAGGTTTAAAGAGCACACACAGACTAGTTTCCAGCATAAACAAACAAAAATCCACCTTCGCATAACATTAATAGGATTCAATCATACAATGGAAAATATTGACGACAGCTTGAAAATTCTACACAATTGCAGAAAAGGAATAAAGATGGACCAGTTCCCACTCCAATTTTAATTCACTTATCAATAACTCCATCCATCCTACAACAGCTGATCCTTGCCAAATATCTCTTTCTCTCTCACGCAATTGATAAGCATAAGGTGGTCAGTCTGTCCATTGCTACCTGGCCCTTGTGTGGTCGGTCATACTTTGTTAGAACAGGCCTGTTTCTTAAATGTTTAATTTTTTTTGTATTTATTCGTGTTCGTACTGTGATTTATCTACTGACGATGTTAAATACTGATCAACTCTACATAAGTACTTGAAGCTGACAATAGTGTTTTAAACACCAAAATATGTTCTGAATCGACATATTTTATTGAGAAGTGACGGGATTACGTACTTAATTCAGTCTTGCATTATGTCCATCAGCACAGGGGCTACATACATGGTTTTTAAGATTAATAAACATAATAATTAAGATCGAGTTTCAAAATTAGTGTAACCGAGCGGTCAGACAAGTTCAAAGCCGATGTTTGTTTTCAAGTGGGCCTACGAGGACTGTTTTCCACAGTAGCTCGGACTCATTAGAATGTTAGTAGTCTGACGTCCAATCTGTAGTAAATTACAACTTTGATACTTAGTTTGATCTACTCCAATAGTGTTGGTATTATTGTTACTGCTATTTTTGGGTAAAGTACTGATTAAGAAACTTATTACCTGTAATAACTCTATAACTCATTATGTACAAACTCAAATGAATATCAATGAAAAGTATTTATAATTATTAACGTTACCACCCGTGTAATGTTGGAAGGCTGGGAAACGGGCGTCAACGCTGACAGAAATGGGTCCAATCTTAGCCACTGCCTGCTTTAAAGCCTTCTCCTTTCCACACACATCCACGTGGCCAGAGCAACTAGCACCCTTGTTCTTAGCATTGTATCTGCAATCTTGCTTTATCTGTAAAGTAAATATTTATATGTGTAACTAGTGAGCAAAGTTGCACTTTGCTGCACACGAGAGCAATGTTTACAATGTTGTCGGAATGATCTCGAGTGCAGCAAAGACCTTTTGCACTCGTGTTATACATTATATTTTTCCTACAGTCACTATAAAGCATATAAATAATTATTCTTTCAAACACTATACAACACGTTTAGAGGTTCAGCTGGCAACACAAATAGGTGCCCTAGAGAAAGTAGTCACCGGTCCGTATCACTCCGCTATTTTTCCTTGGCAAGCAATGTGCTCCGCGACTTGAGAAAATAGTTCCGTATGTTTTTGTAATTTTAAGTGGTTTCCGCCGTACGCGCCTAAAAATGTGCTTTAAAGGTATTTTCTTGTTTATTAAGATCGTAGTAATGTGTTAAAAACGTTTAAAAGAAAAGTCCAGAAAGTTCAGAAACACTGAAACAATAAACACGAAATGACAGGTTAAGTCGTTGTTGTAATAGTCAATCAGCTGCTCATAGTATTATTATCTTTCAGTGTTGCCAACCTATTTCCAAGCTTACACGGATTACGTGCATAATAGACCCACGCTGTTTTGTGTTGTTTCGTTAGAATCCTGATGTGTGCCAAAGTATAAATCGTACGACAAAGTATAAATATGCAGTAATTAGTTGCTTTCTGTACTATAAACAGTACAAGGAAGCCAACTTTGTCGGGTGACTGTAGGAAAAGTTACATTAATATTACTAATGTTTGGTGTTTTACGTCATACATATGAGTATAATACGAAAGTAATTTTCGGTACGAAATTTAGCTTTGTGTGTATAGTATCTTGACGGTTTTTGAAACAAGGCGTAAAATAAAGTTAAACGCATTAGCTAAAAATAGTTTTTCAGCATTTTCTAATGTTTATATAAAGTCGGGACCACGAAAGTTTTCAGTTGGTGGCAGCCAATCACAAGACAAGGCTGGTGCGACGTTGCCACATCGCCCGTTGACAACACTAATTAATATTTTCAAATCTGCTGGTTTTATTAGATTTGGCAACATCACACGGTTCTCATTGGTACATTCAAAACCAAATGGTAAATAGGCTCCTCCCTCAACTGCAATTTTTCGTGGTCCCTACTGTAGAACTTGTGTCAAGAAAAACACTTTAGGCAATAGTGACAAAATATAGGTCTACTCTAAATGCATCCAACCAGTCTTGGTATCTATACATATAAAAGGCAAAGCCCTCACTGACTCACTCACTCACTCACCCATCACTAATTCTCCCACATCCCATTTACCTAGGAGGCTGAAATTCGGTACACCAATTCTTTGGGCATTAAATAGGAAAACTAAGTAGTTTTTATTCTGAGTGGGCTTTCGGGCTCCGCCCCAGTGGCTCCTGGAGTCAACCCTATGATTTTTCATATTTAAAAGGAACTAGTTAACCGCCCGTGCTCCGCCACGGGAATATTGTCAGCAATAAAAGAAATAATAATTAACAAATACTGTTTATCTTTGTATTTTATTTAGGGGTTGTTTAATTTTGTACATGAAATAGAACTGATAGTTTGCCTGTATAAACTATTTTATGTTAATCAAACCGATATATTATTTTAGCCAACTGAATGTTTTATATTAATTCGAGTTGCATTTGAAAAATAAATAGTATACGAACTGGGCAATGCTGATAACCTAATAAGCAGCTATTTATGATATTTAGATAATTTGCTCAAGTATATTCCTATATTTGTTGTTTTTTTTTCATTACATTTGTTGTATGGAATAAAGATAGTCACTTAGCCTACATGTAAATCACGCATCAGCAGTTGGTCGCATTTCACGAATCTTTGACCCATACTGTGAGTAAAAGCTGTGTTTACGTCGTATTTATAAAGTTGGGCACACTTTGTTAAATGTTAGAGGGTATTAACGGTCCAATTTGATGGAAAAGGAGTCGTGGATTTTAAAACTATGTAGACTACCACTACCAGAAAGATGTTGATTCAAGTGAGACTTAGAACTGGCCATTTCAAATGCAGAATCTGACTTGTATTATATTCTACTCAAATAGTTTTTTGTCTCTTTTGACCCTTAATACTTTTTTTATAGTCGCTGTTGATAAGATTTTCCATAAACTCAAAATGTTGATAAGGAGTTCATTTTACCTTCCCCTTGTGGACAACATAAGGAAAAAATATTTGTGTCCCAGTTAGTCTGTTCTGACTCAAAATTCATAGATTTGCAGTACTAAAAAATCCAATCTAACGACCCCAATTCAAGAAAATTGGTAATTTTTAGAAGGGACTTCCAGAGCACATTTAACACCATCACTGCTCTTTACCTTTTTGGTTCGATGGTTCTCTACATGTTTTTTTCGTTCTGTATGTCTCTTTACGCCCGGTTAATGATTACCTTTTCTTTTTCTTTTTGTACTTTTCACATCCTGGGGTTAATGATAAAGTTTAATAACGCTATAATGACCCGAGTCAACATTGCCATTAAATATCAAGTCAGATACTTCTTCGCCAGAACCGAAATCGTAAGCCACAGTTTCTCAAGCAACTTCCCTGTGTAGGCCTACTCGAACAAATATAGTTAGGGTATAGTTCACTGATAAATTGTAGTTCCAAATATCCCAGCGTACTCGCCATCTCGAGAAGGTAAAATTTGGACGTCGAACACTGATCTTGAGTAAGATTAATCACTTACGATAAAATGTTTGTATGTATACCAATCATTAGCAATTACCTGTACAAATTGCAAGCGGATTTCCCTATGATTGTTCTGGTGGCTATAGAGAATAAATTATATTGATCAAAACAATACCCTAGTAGCACAAATATATATTAAATACATATGAATAAATATATTTAAAATCTGTTTTATACATCTCAAGTGTGTATTAATGTCAATTTTATATAATATTTAAAATATATTATATATATATATAAAATATGTTTTTCCCTAATTCGTTTCTTAAACGGCCGCCAGTCGCTAGCACCCTTTCCTAGCCAATCATTAGAGATTTCTATGATCACATTCATTGTAACATATTGCAATTTACCAAATAAAACCCATCAACACTTTTTTTCGTTTGACCCAAATGTAGCTGCCGAACATGTATACTGCCTCTTAACCATATGTGTAATTTTTTCTTTACGTGCATGAGGGAGTGACACCATTCAGAGTACGTATTATTATTAACTTAATTTTAACGCTTTCACAATAGCAATTATTATATAAAAAATGCTTGTATAAATTGATAGACACTATAAAAAACAAAAAGATGCAAATAATTTATTTGCTAATTATAAAAGATTATAGGCTATAGCCTATATTCTACAAATATATTATTATTTTATTAATAAAAATAAATGACGTGTTTCAAAATATATTTATAAATACTTTAAATATATAATATAGTTTCAAAAATATTTTATATATATATCTAAAATATTCTCAACACATAATTTTTTTAAATATTTAATAGGAAAAATATACATATAAAATATGTATATTATAGATTTTAAACTTATTTGATCAATATATATTATTAATCTATTTTATATATTCAAAACTTATATTTAATTTATATTTTGCATTGCTTTATGGTAATATTTAAAATATATATTTGAATATATCAAACTGTTATTAAAGATATATTATTTATATATTTTATTCAAGGTTCTATGAAATACAACTTTAAATATATAAAATATTTATAAAATACATATTTGTGCTACTAGGGTAAGTTTCCGTCCCCTACTATGGGTATTATTTCACATTCCATACTCATACTTAAACTCAATTACCACTTTCCTTCAGATCACTAAGCAGGAAAACTAAAACATTTTTGTGTCCCAGTTAGTCTGTTCTGACTCGAAATTCATAGATTTGAAGTAGTGACAAATCCAATCCAACGACCCCAATTCAAAAGAGTTGGTATTTTTTGTAGGGACTTCCAGAGCACATTTAACACCAACACTGCTCTTTACCTTGTTAGTTCGATGGTTCACTACATTTTTTTCGTTCGGTATGTCTCTTTACGCCCGGTTAATGATTACCTTTTCTTTTTCTTTTTGTACTTTTCACAACCTGGGGTTAATGATAAAGTTTTATAACGCTATAATGACCCAAGTCAACATTGCCATTAAACATTAAGTCACATACTTCTTCGCCAGAACCGAATGGTAAGTCACAGTTTCTCAAGCAACTTCCCTGTGTACTTGAAAAAAAATTCGCTGATATATTGTAGTTGCACGTATCCCAGCGTACTCGCCATCTCTAGAAGGTAAAGTTTAGTACCACTGAACGTCTAACACTGATCTTGAGTAAGATTCGTCACCTACTATAAAATGTTTGTATGTTTCCCACTCATTAGCAATTATATGTACACCTTGCAAGCGGATTTCCCCATGATTATTCTGGTGGCCGTAGAGAATAAATTATATTGATCAAAACAATAAGTTTCCGTCCCCTACTATGGGTATTATTTCACATTACTCAAACTTAAACTCAATTACCACTTTCCTTCAGATCACTTTGCAGGAAAACTAAAACATTTCAAAAATAAGTTAACAAATACACTTTCCATGACCAAAATCGTGTGTTTATAAACAGAAACTCCAAGTTTAATAATTGCATACTGAAAGTGAGGTTATAAAAATAATAACAAATGTCTGACAAACATTAAACAGCTGACGAATAATTTATAAACTGTGTATTATATTCTTCAATAAGAATTGTATTGACTCGACCTTTAAAGGGCTGTAGGTCGTAGCCCTTAGAAAAAACGTAAATTCTGAGGAAGTTCGGCAAATCTACGCACTATCCCCTTTAATTCGAGACATAAATCTTGTAGATCAGTCCAGTAATTACTGAGAAAACAGTGTTACAACTGTGTATTAAATATATAGATTAATGAATCTTAACAGCTGTTTAAATTACCTAAACAAGTTGGTTGTGTTCTATGATTTTCAATAGCATTAAAGTTAAAAGGATTACCAACAGTGTGCAGCACTATTATTTTTTTATGTATTTATGACAACAGCTAATTTGCAACCAAAAGGTGAGTGAGCGTAGTGAACGAACTTCAACCTGGAGGCAAGTTAGCGTAGCGAACGAGTTAACCTGAAGGCAAGTGAGCGCAGCGAACGAGCTCCAACTTAAAGGTGAGTGAGCGTAGCGAACGAACTTCAACCAGGACGTGATTGAGCCATGCGAACGAGCTCATCTTGAAAATTAGAAGTTAAGCGGGACAAAGCCCGCCGGTACAGCTAGTTTATATATATTGTGTTGGTATGGTTTAAAAAATTTTTATTCGAAAACATGATTTATCATTATTTTCAATGAGTCTAAAGACAAGAACAATTTCAACCAGAACATTAGGTAAGCTAATCTAGTAGCATATCTCAAGACCTCTGTTTCCGGGGTCTCAGGTTAAATTCACTCGAATTAACAATTACTTTTAGCGATGCTAAAGTGTCATGTCCTACAACTAGCCTAAAGTAAAGTATAAAACGATATCTGGCTAGTACTAGTGTCCTAGCATGTAAAGGTAGAACATGAACACTATCTAGGGGACCATTAACTGTTACTGCACCCACCAAACAGTTGGTGAGTCGGTGGCTCAGTCGGTAGCGTCGCGGACTTCGGGCCCAAGGCAGTAGTGTCGTGGGTTCGGATCCTGGTCACTGCCACAAACTTTTATCAGTACAGTTCACCTTTGTACTGTACCGGCTCACCCCTTGCTTTGCTTGATCTGTAGTCTATGTGGACGGGCAAATGCAAGGTTAAAAGAGGCCATCAACCTCTTAAAAAAAAAAAAAAATCAGCTTACCTTTCCCGTGTAGGGGTAGGAAGCCTCGGTGTCGATTCCCTGGTTTTCCTTGATGTATCTGAATGCGGCATCCGTATTACCTCCTTCACATCCTGTATTACCTTGAAGCCAGCTGCAGTCAACCAGATTCTGTTCACTCAAAGACACCAGCTTCTTGGTCTTCAGGTAGGTCAGTCCTTCCAAACTTCCGATCTGAAACGATAGAATGCATTTCGTCAGAATTTTAGGAAGAAATTGGTTTAAAAGTAGACTCTAATATTTTCTTGTTATTCATTGTGACCCTTGGTTGGAATATATAATTGATAAAATGGAAGAATTACCTTATCCAACCACAGTTGCTAGTATGACAACTAGTTTCGTTCCTTAGAACATCGTCAGGTCATTGTATGCAACCACATCATCAATGTATTAATACATTGTGGTATGTCAAAAGATTCTTTAAAACACTGTCAGAATCACAATAGTAAAAACTAGCCATGTTGATCAAATTATTAAAATTGAATAAAAAGTGATAAAACTGGTTAAAACTGTAAAGGCTGGCCAGCACTCTCTTATCACTGTCACTGACTAAATAAAACTGACTGAATCATGAGGTGTCTTCATCTCCATCTCTCTAGTGCCACCTGTATTTCAGTTTGTTTTGTTCTTCTTATTTGATACTACTTTGATTGTAGCTTGTCAATATATGTATCAAATATAATATTTGACTGGAAGGAAGTCTGATAATTTAAAATGTTGAATGAGTCGAGTTTTTTAGCTTTGTAGATGGTGAATTCTTCTTTGACATCAAGCTTAAAACTTTTTGGTAATACTTCAACTAATCCCATGTTCTTATCAATAGATGTGTAGTTGTGTAATGTTCGGCATAACTGGATAGCTGATGTTGTGATCTTTTAGGTATATGTTCTTTAAATCTTTGTTTGTCAAATCTTCCAGTTTGGCCGATGTAGTACTTTGGACAGTCGTCACAGTTAATTCTATAAATGCCTGATTTTTCATAGTTGTTTGTGGCAACAGGCTTGGGGTGGAAAAACTTTTGGAGTGTATTGTTTACGGAATGTGCGACAGTCGTATTGTTTCTATCAAATATTTTGGTGATGGCGTTGTTGATTTGTCCATAGTACTGTATTTTAATGTATTTCTTCTCTGACTTTTCTTTGTTGATGTTCATGTTCCGCTTTTTCTTTTGTATTATGGAATCAATCATTTGAGGTTTGTAACCGTTTACTCTGGCGATATGCTTGATAGTGAAGTATTCCTTGTTATAAGCTTCTTGGCTCAAAGGTTATGATAATGGTATGATATGGTATGGATATGATAATAGTAACAATCTACTTTTAATAATTTGTTCAACATGACTAGTTTTTAATATTGTGATTCTGACAGTGTTTAAAGAATCTTTTGACATACCACAATGTATTAATACATTGATGATGTGGTTGCATACAATGACCTGACGATGTTCTAAGGAACGAAACTAGCTGTCATACTGGCAACTGTGGTTGGATAAGGTAATTCTTCCATTTCATCTAATATTTTCGTTTATTGAGGTAAAAGGTATATTATTTGGGAGGCTACTGCCGGCATTTTTATTTTCCGAAAATAAGTTTTCACTTGTCCTTGTTTCACACTTACATAATTAATATCATGCACTGGTCAAATTTACCTAAAATTATACTAATCAAAAACACACACTTAATAAGTAATGCTTCTCTGGCATTACGTCATCATAGATGACTGCAATGACGCAATGTTCCCTGTTTGAGATCAGCTTCTTATTTTAATCTTTTCTTGGAGATCAAAAATTGTAACTATAAAAAACATTATTTTACGTCATTGCCGTCGTATATGATGACCTCGTGCCAGAGGAGCATTACGGCCTGTACTAATGCACAATTAGGTTGACAGCTTACGAAAGAAAACCTTAAGGCTCTATACTACTACGATTTGACATAATGTTAAGGCTTGTGCCTTATATAAATATACTAACACAAAATAAGTGGTGGCAATATAGCGGTTTAAAGCCACCTCAAAAACTTTTTGGCCCAGAACTTTTAAAATTTTTGGCGAAAAAAATGTCCAAAGCCCCAGGAGCTTTTTTGGCCAATTTTTTAAAGACCCAGCTCTCACACCCCTATATAAATTTTCTACTTTTAGCGAATTTCCCTATAGGGAAGTAGCTATTACCGTAGGTCTCATTGTAAGACCTAGCCCAGGACCGATTTACTTTTTCATTGTGATATCCCCAGAGGCCAAAAACACCATTCGTAAAAATTTATATATATATATATATATATATATATGTGTGTGTGTGTGTGTGTCCATCCGCACGATAATTTGAGTAATTTTTGTCCGATTTTGATAATATTTGGTTTGAAGGTGTAAGACGGAATAAACTTGAATGTGTTCGCGAACCAGCATGATCGGACTATGGGAACGGGGATTTATGGGGGGTTTTATGGGGTAAAAATAGGTTTTTCCCATTTTTGACCCTAAAAAGATAAAATTTCTAAATTTTTTTCTAAACCATTTTGTAGAGCTTATAAAAATAAATAATTTAGTATATTGGAGCGCTGTTGTATGCCTAACGGTCACGGAGAAAATGCAAAAATAGCGTAATTTGAAATTCCCATGTTATTCTTAGGGAGAAAATAAAAACTGTTGTAGTTTGCTTGTTTATGAACATATTTTAATCAAATTTGGAAAATGCATTTATTTCATACTAAACTATTACATTTTACAAAAAAAAAAATACCTTTTCACCTTCCCTGTTGCAGCAAACCTAAGTACTCGCTAAACTAATTCTGTTTAAATAGGGAACAAATGTGATATTTTTAAGGAGACATTTTAGTGTAAATCCAATCAGGCAAATGGAAATTCGCTAAGTCTGCAGATTTGCTGTGGCGGGGGTATTTTAATTCTGAAAAACATGTCTGGAATATGGCTCTATTTTGCCACTTTTTTTAAGACCCGGCTCTCGTCCAATACAAGCCTATATTAATGTTCAATACCATTGTACAACTTCATTACTATTTCAAATCCACATCCATTCACATGTATATTCTCAAAATCGAGCAAGGTTAGTACGCGAACTCGGGCGCGCTCCCGGCTCATGGCGCGCTCCCTTGGCCATCCTTAGTGGAAATCCATGAGTTCTGGCTACTTGGGAATCCAAGCCATTTGACATACAATAAATCACCTTTTCTCCTAATTACCTTTTTTATCAAATACATGTCTTTATACTTGGTCTTTAACAACTCCCCTGTATAGAAGCCTCCCCTGATTATATTGCCATTTTTATCTTTCAAGATATAAGTCACAGGCTTTGTATTCTTTACTTCTGCTATTGTAAATAGCTCCCCTTTCCAATTCGGAGTATAACCTTTATAAAAACATGTTTATACTTGGAAATCCTCACACTATCACCTACCTTATATCTTGGCTTTTTAACTTGCACTACTTTAGAAGACATCCTCTCATGCATATATTTACTGTTCTTAACACTCACTTGGTTGGGCTTCATTCCTATAGATCTATGCACTTTATTATTATATTTTCGAGTTAACTTTGGTAGTAAATCCAACCATTTATAACTCCCCTGGGCACTAAATTCCCTATATAACCGATTCTTTAAAGTTCTCTGAAACCTCTCCACAATTGCAGCCTTAGTTGTAGAAAATGTGTGATAGTGATTAATTTTTAATTTTTTATTAGTTTGCTAAAATATTGATTAAAAAATTCTTTTCCATTGTCAGATTGAATGTTTTTAACCCCCTTTGGTAGAATGGTTTTAATGATTTCTGTAACCACCAATCCTGTCTTATTTTTTAGTGGAGCAGCATAAGCTTTTTTAGAAAATGTATCTAGGCTATTAACGTTAAAATATATTTATTGCCAGAATTCTCTCTAGCATAGTTTTGTATATCAATTTAATCTATTTGTATGGTTTCGTTTATACCCAATACTTTAACCGGACCTTCTAATGAAATTCTTTATTGCAGGCTTATGAAGTTTGTATGCAATTTCATTCATTTTTTATAACATCACTCTTTCCTTTAACTGTAAATATATTAACATTAACCCCAATCAATAGATTATCTTCCATTCTTTTAAATACATAGTTTTCTGGTATATATGGTCTATTATATGTATACTTAAATCCAGTCAAAGATGTGGGGTCAGCAACTAACAAATCAGGAATGTATTCCATAAAATATTTTTTTTTTCCATACACAAATTTCGATCCATCATAATGCATAGCTTTTGACATTAGACAAATATCATCCGAATGTTCCCCCTCTGGTAGATTCCTTATAAATAATTTTTGGCATCCCAACAATTATGTTTTTTATTAAAAATTATAGTCTGTTCTTTTGTAACACAGTCAGTGTCATCAATGGCAGGTTTAACACGTACTAGCCGTTTATTATTAAAATCCCAATAGCCTGCTTCCATTTTTGGAACTTGTGAAACATTTACAGCATCTTTACTATCTGTACCTTCCATCAAATCGCTAAGTTTCTGTTTCTTAGCATTCCAAACACCATTCTCTGATTCTAAAAATTTATAATTATTATCGTCTTGTACAAATTTTCCATCTTTTCGTATTAAAGTCTGTTGTAAAGTGGGCACATCATTTAAACTTTCACCTTTTTCCACATTAGTAATTTTCTGTTTTTTAGCATTCCAATTTTTATTCTTAGATTCTAAAAACTCATATTTAGTTTTACCTTGTAAAAAGACATCACCTTTTCTAGTTAATGTCTGTCCCAAAGTTGATACATCATCTACAAACTCCCCATCTTTACCAATACATTACCAATTTTACGGTTTAAACAATTCCAACTATCATCTTGTAAATTTAAAGTAGGTTCACTACTAGCCCTGGGTTCTGCAGGCTTATCATATGGATTATATAAACGATAAAATTTATCCATAAACATATTTTTATTTAATAAATAATTCCACTTTCTCTCAATTCCTCAATAATGGAATCTATTTCATTATCCACTCCTGAGTTACCGGCTTGGCGACTTAGCCAAAGAAGTCTTAACCTATCTACAAGCTCATTAGGATCATCCGAATAAATTTAGTCAATTTTATTACCTCACTTGTCACAAACCTTCACCAACAGATTTATATAGAGGTTTAATTATATTACGATATTTAGTATGTCTATTACTTGAAATTGG